AAACCAAGAGTCAGATGCTCAACCGACTGAGCTGCCCAGGCGCCCCCATTGTGTGCTTTTTCAAATGGAGCCCTCATCGTCTTCATCATTTTAAATCCCTGTCTGATGATGCTGAGCCCTTTTATCTTCGTTCCTCTCTTCTGCTGTGATGCTGTCTGCTCACAGCCATCCTGCCTGCCCTGCTCTGCATCCTGAGCCTGTCTTCTCGCCCCTCGCCCCTTGGTCTGTCCAGAGAGCCCCTTTTGCATCAGCCTTCCAGTTAAGCGACTTTGATGTGTCTCACATGCCACTTAAGTTTGACTTTTTAATTCCAGCTGTGATTCTTATTTATAAGCTTTAATTAATTTATTTTTAATGTATATTAGCAACTTTTTGTGTTCTCTTATCACCTTGATCACATTTTCTTTCATCTTTTCTTTCTTTAAGCATTTTACACATAGTTCTCTGTTTGAATGAAACCTTGAGGAATTGACTCTGTTTTTTTGTTGTTGTTGTTGCCCCTGTGAGTGTGTTGTTTCCTTGGATGTACAGTTATTTTTCACGAGGTCATGTTTTGTTCATCTTACTCTGTGAGAGCCACAAAGCCCTAAGTAGGGGCTGAAGTACCAGTGTGGTGCTACCCCACCTGGGACCCTTGAACTCCTCCTGACAGTCTCCAGAGGGACCACGGATCTGCCCCCCATCACTGTGACGATGGTGTGTGCCTCTTGAGGGCAGTCCTCCCTTCCCCACACCTCCACCTGGCCCTGTTTTTCTCACCATGTTCTGATCAGTTCTGTGAAAGATTTCCCTAGCTTTCGCTAGGGCTCAGCACCTTGTTACAAAGGTGTTTGGTGCTGTTTCTCTGGGATCTAGAGTGTCATGTCCCCCTTCCCGGACAGAGCCCAAGCAGAGGGGGACCGCACAGCCTCAGAGGGAAGAGTATACATGAGCTGGCAGGCTGCGCCCCCACCCCCTGCTCCTTCACAGGGCACGTTCCCAGCCACTGACCCGCATGGCCCAGGAGTAGAGGGCCACGACTGCAGGGCCAGGTTCAGAAGCCCAAGGCTTCCAGCTCCAGGTGCTGTGTTTCCACGTGGAAACCAAATTCTGAAGCAGTCATCACGCTAGCAAAGGGCCTAGTAATGAAGGTAGAGAGATGTCTTGAACTCTCCACTGGGAGCATGAGGAGTAGTTGAAAATGGTCACCACATCCTGGCCCTCAGTGCGTTCAGGATGAGTAGAGCCGGCAGAGTGGCTCCCGTGTGGCTCTGGGCCATGTGCCTCTGTCCCCTCCCTCATGGGGTGATTGAGGCCCAACCACTGCAGAAGTGATGAAGTCAGACATGGGGGGCAAGTCTCAGTTCAGGCTGGAATTGGAGGGAGAAGAAAGCTCTGTGGGAAACAGGGACAGAAACAGACCACAGTTGGGGTCACACTGATCTTAAGTCTGTATCTTGTTTTGGAGGCCGTTTCCGTTCTTCTGGCCTGAGAAACAGCAAGACCGAGACAGCCACGGTGCTTTTGCCTCTTTACTGTCTCTGGCAGGAGTATTGAGGAACGTCGGAAGAAACAGAGTAGTCGCTCATCCAGCTTCCCGTTGCGTGGGACGTGCCCGTTGGCAGCCCCCCTCACATGTGCGTGCAATGACTCGGTCTTTTGCCCGCTTGGCTGTGTTTGGCAGCCGTGTTCACGGTGTCCAGGGTGGAGGTGGTGGTGTGCGGTGGAGCCTGGCTCTCCCGGCTGCGGCATAGATGCCGAAGGTGTTCAGAAGGCGTCCGTTAGTGTGTATCTGTCTGAGCTCTCCTTTAGAGCAAGACTTTTACTTTCCTGTGAATCACTTCTGTCTCAAAGCGGAGGACCATCCAAAACTTCTATGACGTGAACCTGTGTGGATTTGTGTAGAGTGAAATAAATCTGTTCTAACTCAACAGCATTGTCCACATGTTGAGAGACTAATTCTACGCCTGAATCACTTGTGAGGCGTGGCCCAGAATGGTCTTGTTGACAGAGGCCTGTATTTTCTAAAGGAAGCCCACACCAGTTGAGTCGAGTAGCCATCTTGTGGGAAAGCTTTCACATAAACGCCCCTTGTTTGTTACGGACCCGCTGCTCCCTTGGTCTCTATAGCTGGACCTCCTGTTCTGAGAATGTGGGCTTCTGAGGAAGTGTGTGAAGTGAATTTGAGTTACGTTTTCAGTATCACCGCTTTATAGCTGTGTTCCCTCATCCCTCTAAGCTAAGTCTGTTCAGCCTTTATTGAACGTCCGGTATGTGCCAGGCCCTGTGCTACATGCTAGCAAAATACAAACCAGGGAGCCTTGGTCCCTGTTTTCAGGGCTCTCGCAGTCTAATCAAGTCAGAGCCTGAGAACACCACGGTGTGCCCTCGGAGCAGCTGGCGCTGCAGAGTAGGGAGGTCACACTGAGGAGGGAGGGCGGCCGACAGAGCCTGTCGGGGGGCTTTGCGGAGGAGGTGACGCCGGGTCGGGCTTGGAGGGGTACGCACAAGCTCTCTGGACGCATGTGGGTGGCGGGTCCCGGCTCTCAGCCAGGCTCCCTGGAGCTGAGGGCAGTCAGCTGGCAGCCGTGAGTTGGGAGGGCCTCGGGAAGCAGCGAGGCGCTTCGGAGCCCGCTGCGCTTCAGCTGTGCGAGGCCCGCGAGGCTGGTTTCTGCCTGCCGGGTGTCTCTGCCCTCAGCGGAAGGTCTCCGACGCTGAGAATCCCTTCTGCTTGTTGTCACTTCCCATCCACTGCTCCGCAGCAGTAGCAGCTCTTCGTTGATCACTACCTTGTGGAAACTGGTGTCTGTAGAAATGCGGTTTTTTGGTGTCCTCACTCTTTGCCCTGGGGCTCCCCTGCCAGAACAACTCGATTAGGCTCCTGCCTCGATCCTGGCCGCACAGACCTCTGTTAGTTCCTGCCTCATAGCCTGCGTGTCCACGCCGTTCTCACCCTCCGCCTCCCTGAGCCCGTTGAGGCCAGCAAGTGTGCTGAGCTGCCCGAGCGGAGTGACCCTGCTTCCTCTGTGCACCCAGGACGGGCGGGGCGGGGTTGCCGTGTGTCTCGGGACCAGCCTTACAAAGTGGTGACGGTCCACCTCAGCCCTCACTGTGCTGCACACTTGAACCCATCGTCCAGTTTAATTCTTAACCACAACCCCTGGAGATACGTATTTCCAATTTACAGATGAGAAAACTAAAGCACAAAAAGATTGAGTAATTTGCCTGAGGTCACACAGCTAGTAAAAGGGGGAGCTAGCGTCCAAACCCGTCAGGCTGTGCGTCCCAAAGGCTGAGAACAGGACTGGTGTTCACGTCCCGCTTTGTCACTGGCCACACCTCCCAGGGACTGTGGCTTCGGTCTCCTGCTCCAGTAGTCCCAGCGATTGTCCTGATGGCCCCGGACCCCCCCTTGCTCCCCTGCCACTGCCTCCCGTCTCTCAGGCCCTGGCTGACTGCTTCCTGTGCTGGCCTCTCCCCTCCAGGCAGAGGCCGGGCAGCGAGGCCTCTGATTCGGGTCCTGCAGCCTGTCTGGCTGTGGTACAGCTGTCCATGGCGCCATCCCCCTTCCTCCCCGACCTCTGCCCCAGCCAGCCTCTTAGGGTTCTGCTCTTGGGAATCCTCCCAAAACTCTCCCAGATGACTTAACAGCACTCGGGGCCCAGTTCTGTGTCCCCAAGGATGAGATTTCCAGGCATTGTTCCCCGCACCAGGCCTGTAGCTTCTCCGGGGGTGAGGGGGGGCAGCACGGGGAGGCCTGTCGCAGTGGGTGCTGCTGGGGAGGGGAAGATGTGTGCCCACATCAACAAGTGCTGGGGACAGCAGAGCCAGGACTCATTGGAGGGAAGGCAGATTTTAAACTAGCAGGCGACCAGTAAGTCTTGAATTATAACTGTGGTAAGTGCTAAGAGGGAAAATTGTGGATTTTAGGTGTGTTGAATGCAAAAGCCCACGTTGGTCTTGGGTGCTGGATGGTGAGGGCAGCGGCAGTGATGACTTCTTTGAGACAGGGACATTTAGGCTGAGGCCCGAAGGATGAATGTAAGTCACCGAGATTATGGACTGAGGTTAGGATGTTCTGGAAACTGGATGCAGCACAAGGAAAGTTCAGGGTCAAGAAGGAGCTTGGATTTGAGGACCAAGGGAAGTCCTGTGTGTCCAGAAGCTTGGGGAACAGGAGGGTCAGGAGTAGGCCAAGCCATGTGAAAGACTTTCAGTTTCATCTTAAGAGTGGTGGGAAGACATCGGTGCATCCCTAAGCAAGGGAGTGACTCACTCTTACTGGCCTTCACAAAAGCTTACTCTGGCTGCTGTGAAGGAAAGGACTGGAAGGAGGCCGGGTATGAGCCATGGGACCTGTCTGTGCAGGTGGTGGAGGCCGGGGCTGGGGGGTGTGGGCCGAGAGGAGGGAGGGACCAAGGATGCCTAGGGGTGTGCAGGGGGCGGCCAGCAGCTAGTCACTCGATGAATGTGTGGGCCCAGCCACCCTCCCTCGGTGCCTTCAGATAGCAGTCTGCCCCGGCAGGGCCCAGGGGCTGCTTCCAGGCTCCAGTAAAATCCGCAGTTCCTTAGACGTGCACGGCACTCGGCCCAGGTGTGAGACACAGTTTAAGAGCTTTCCATTTTTTGTTAGTGATTCCAGAGTTGACTTTTTAGCAGTGATCTTTAGAATGTCAGATGAGACTAAGCCCTGGGAGCGAGTTGTACGCACACGGGCCACACGTAGACTGTGCCGAGGGAGGAATGCTGTAAGGTGCTGAGTTGTCTCAAGTCTGTTTGGTAGATTCCCTGCAGCAGCAGCGGCTTTGAAAATGTACGCCTGGTTCACGTGTGAGCAATCACACATAGTGTGACAGCCTCGCAAGTCCGTGCTCTGCGAGACGCATTCAGCCTGGGACGCCCGCCCGCAGCAAGCGGGGCCCCACGGGGTTTTCAGTCATGGGTTGTCTTGTCTGTAGTTTAACTACATAGGTAAGCAGAATATGAATTTTGATATGTGATTAGAACATTTTTTTTTGTAGGCTTTACCGCCAGCACCTGTTCAGAATCACACAAATAAGCATCAGGTATTCAATGCATCTCTTCAAGACCATATTTATCCAAGCTGTTTTGGGAATACTCCAGAGTGGAATAGTTCTAAATTTATAAGTCTTTGGGGATCAGAAGTGATGAATGATAAGAACTGGAATCCTGGCACTTTCTTGCCAGATACAATTTCTGGTAAGGAACTTGTTAAAACTTTCTTAAAGGTTTAAAATGACCTGAGCTGGGCGGATTGCTGTCTCTGTTACCGCGGTCCCCCAGTAGAAGCCCTAGGCTAGTCGGGTCCCCCGCCTCCGCCACTCCCGGGAGGCCCCTCGGCCTCATCCCGCTGTCCCAGCCGCCCACGTCCGCCGCCAGCCAAGTCCCACTGCCCGGACAGAGCAAAGCAAGGTGCTGGCACCCTCAGGCTGCTCCCGGCACAGCGGGCTGTCCGGGGCCCTGCGCACAGTGGATCTCCCCAGGCCCCTGTGCTGCTGAGCCTCTTGTCTCCAGGCCTCGGTGTTCGGCCCGTGGTGCTCGGACAACAGCAGCAGCCCCTCAGCCCAGTGTGCAGGGCCCTGCAGCCGTGCCACCGTCCACCTCAGTGCTGGGACTTCTGTGCCTTTTCTGGTGCTGGACTGACCTTACATGGGGTTTGTCCCCTCTCACAAGCTCCCTCCTCCCAGCTCTCGGCTGCCCAGGTACAGCTGTTATTTCAGGCGCAGGGAAAGGTGCACCTGAAGAGGGGCTGGTTGCACCCTTCTCTCTGTCTTCACATGGTTAGAGCCCATGGTGGCCCCACACCTACACCCTGCATGTGCTCAGAAAAGCAGGCTACACTTGACATCTGTGCTTGGAGTGGGTTACTAGCTGTGTGACCTTGGGCAAGTTGCTTAGCCTCTCTGAGCCTCAGTTTCTCTATCTTTAGGACGGGACTAATAGTACCAAGCTCTGAAAGTAGCTTTAAGACAATAAGTAAAATCACTTTGGGAAAGCACCTAGCACGGGATTGGCACATAGTAGGTGCTCAATACATTTTTTTCCTGGAGAAAAACTGGTTGACTAGCATCCTCCCAGTGAAGTCCCAGCTTCGGTAGCAGCCCCAGTGTTAGGAGTTCAGTCAGCTGACGTCCCTTAGGTTTGAGCGACATATTTCTAGAGCCTTACTTCTCCCATTCTTCTCTGAAGGGAGTGACATACTAGGACCAACACTCTCAGAAACGAGACCCGAAGCCCTTCCACCTCCGTCTAGCGGTGAAACGCCTGCAGTTTCCGAGAGCAAGGAGAAAAAAAACGCCGCAAAAAAGAAATGCTTGTATAATTTCCAAGATGCTTTCATGGAAGCGAACAAAGTCGTGATGGCCACGTCGTCAGCCACCTCCTCCGTGTCCTGCACGGCCACCACGGTGCAGTCCAGCAACAGCCAGTTCAAAGTGTCGTCCAAGAGGCCTCCTTCCATAGGTAAGGCCCGCCAGCTGGCGGGAACCCTCGGGGCTGCTCAGCGTGTCTGCCGCTTCCTCCTCAGCATCTCTGTGATCGCCTTGTCCTTGGCATGGCCGGAGGCCTGGTGTAGTAATCAGCGCTGGAGAATGCTCGCACACAGACAGCACGTCCTCTGGGAGTCGGGCCCGAGTTTCACTGCCCCACGAACTTCCCCTGGGGCTTTGCCACGCCGGCTTGCCTTTCTTCTCGGTACCTGTTGCTTTGTGAGAGGAAGAGGTCACTGCTCTCGGGGCACATGGGGGAATCCTTAGTCCTCTGAAAGCAGGGCCCTGGTGGAGAGTGAGCCGATGGGGCTGCTGGCCCGCCTGGGGTGCAGCCCCTGCTGCCACTCGCGTCTGTGGTGTGCAGGGGGTGTGGCTCCCCACGCTGGCATGAGCACGGGGAGCGGGGGTCTGGAAGCAGAGGTCAAAGGCACACAGGAGCTGGCTGTAAGGGCTCTCTCTAGCCAAAGTCAGGACAGTTGGAGCATCGGAAAGAGTAACAGGAGGGACGATAGCACACACAGTCAGGAATCCCCTTGGGTGGGGGCGCCTGGGTGGCTCAGATGGTTAAGCGTCTGCCTTCGGCTCGGGTCGTGATCTCAGGGTCCTGGGATCGAGTCCCGCATCGGGCTCCCTGCTCAGCGGGGAGCCTGCTTCTCTCTCTGCCTCTGCCTCTCTCTCTCTCTCTCTCTCTCTCTGACTCTCATGAATGAATAAATAAAACATTAAAAAAAAAAAAAAAAGAATTCCCTGGGTGTTCAGAAAGGAGATGGGGGGTAGGGAAGCTGCTCTGTGATAGACATGCCAGACAGGGCAGGCCACTGTGCAGCCAGCAGGGTGACCGTCAGTCCAGGTGAGCATCCCCAGTGGTCGTTGAGAACAGTGGATATCCGTTTGGGGAACGAGTAGCACCCGCAGGTGACTGGCAGATCACGCCCTGCACACTGATCAGATGTGGCCTCACCGTCATGGGACAGACTCACGTGAGGGGCCTCTCAGGCAATCACGCGGGAAGGATCCAACATACCCTTTGCAGGAGTCATGTCCAAAACGTCTTTACTAACTCTGACATAACGCCATAAGCCCAGACTGATGGGCAGCTGTCCTCAGCTGAGGCGATGTCAATGTTGCTGAAGGAAAAAGGGTTAGAAGAGGCCAGGTTGGGGAAGAGCTCCAGAGGCTGTGCGGGGGAGATGGGAGACAGGATGGGGTTGCACGTGGGACGAGAGTGTTACGTGGACGGCACACGTCCGGATGTGGTTACACAGTGAAGTGTCGTGACCCCAGGGGCTCGTGCTGAGGTGTTTAGGGTGAGTGCAGCCTCCAGATGTTAGGCCAGAAAAGTGTGTGTGTGAGAAATAAACGTGACAAAATGTTAAATAGCAGTGAGTCCAGGTGAGGGGTATATATGGGGGTTCTTTGTACTGTTCCTTCAAAGTTTGTGTAGCTTTGAACATCTTCACGTGAAGAGGTAGAGGAAGCTTTAGTGAAAAACTAATTCAGCTCCACCGTCAGCGACCCTTCTGCGTCCCCGCGTGCAGGTGAGGTGTTCCACGGCGTCACCAAGGAGGACCACAGACACGCGGTGCCGGCCGCCCCGAGGAACAGCCCCACGGCCCTGGCGCCGCTTCCCGCCCTCGCCCCTGCCGCGCTCGCCCCGGCCTCCTCGCCTCACCTCGCGAGTCTCGCAGCCCCATCCTTCCCCAACACTGCTGCCCCGTCCCCCGGGTTTGTGGAGCCACGCAAGAGCTTCTGTCCTGCTCCAGGAGCCCCCCCGCCCCCCACAACCGACGGCTCCATCAGCGCTCCCCCCAGCGTCTGCAGGTGAGCCCGGGCCCCGCTGGTGCCGGAGTCGGGGAGCCACGTGCAGCCCAGCAAGCCAGGGAAGGGCAGAGGCCGCGGGTCGAGGGGAGGACGCTGGTCGCGCCTCTCGTCCTCAGGCCGGGGCCGCCGTGGGCGGGTGCACAGACCACCACCCCGCCACTGGCAGCGCGGGGGGGACGGGGCCGGGCGTCTCTAAGTTGTGTATGTTATATGTTGAGTAAAGAACCATACAAGCATTCAGCTGTTTTAAAAAGACAGAGCTTGTTACCTTTGAATTTGCCCGTTTGAAGGCATGACGCGGCGGGAGGGACGGTGGAGAGACTCTCCCTTCCTGCCTGCGCGCCTGCCCACGGCGCCTCCCCCGCGGGCCTCCCAGGGTCGGGTGGCTGCGCGTAACCGGCCCCTGTGTGGTTCTGCAGTGACCCCGACTGTGAGGGCCACCGCTGCGAGAACGGCGTGTATGACCCACAGCAGGACGACGGGGACGAGAGCGCCGACGAGGACAGCTGTTCTGAGCACAGCTCCAGCACGTCTACCTCCACCAACCAGAAGGAGGGCAAGTACTGTGACTGCTGCTACTGCGAGTTCTTCGGGCACGGCGGGGTAAGTGCCCGGGGGCAGCGGGGGGCCCTCCAGGCCGCGGGACAGGCAGCGCCCGCGGTGCACCTTACGGGGTGTCGAGCTAAAAATCAAGGTGTGGTCTTGTACTTACCCTAAAGAAATAATGGAAAATATCTGCCCGGAGATCTCCCTGCAAGGATTTCGTGACTGCAGGTTTGCATTTGTTTGTGAGCTGGGGGGCCTCCTGAACAGCCAGCCGTGGGAATCGCTGGGTCCAGGCCATGCACGGCCATGCGGTGGGGAGCTCGCTGCGCGGCGTGCACCATGGGACTCCTGACGGTCGGTCCGTAGGAGCAGACGGCGGCCATGGTGTCCCGGGGCGGGCGGGGGGGGGCGTTGGGGAATGGGGCTGGTCGTTGCTCTTTCTCTACTTTTGTTCTGTCTGCATTTGCTAGACGTGTGCACACCCGTGTCCAGTGTCAGGAAGAAATGTTGGCAGTGGGGCTGAGGGCAGTTTTCTTTTTCCCTTTCGGCACTGAACAAGAAACCCACAAAGGGATGGAAAGATTGTACAAACGCACTTATTGACACGAAAAGATAATCACACTATAATATATACAGAGTAGATGTATGTGTGATTTTTTTTTTGGTTTAAAAACGTCCATCTGTGTACATAGTTGTACATGTTTTACCATAGTTTTCGTGAACATGTAAAGGTTGAGGGCTCGGTGCCAGAACTAATCTTCGGGTCCCTCTGGGACAGGCTTTCCTTGTTGCTGCCACTTGTTTGTTTTCCTTATTTTTCACCATGAACGTGTGTTACCAGAGTAATAAGAAAACTTTCATCTTTAGAGATAGGTTCTGAAATTTGCAATATTCAGCATCATTAAAACTTGAAGCTTCATTCAGCCATGCTCTCCTTTAACTGCCTTAGCCTCCAGCTGCGCCGACAAGTAGAAATTACGCAGAGATGAGGGAGAAGCTTCGTTTGCGGCTGACCAAGAGGAAAGAAGAGCAGCCTAAAAAGGCGGACCAGCTCTCGGACAGAGAGAGTGTCGTTGACCATCGAAGGGTGGAAGACTTGCTACAGTTCATAAACAGCTCAGAGACCAAGCCCGTGAGCAGCACTCGAGCCGCCAAGCGAGCCAGACACAAGCAGAGGAAGGTAAACCGTGTGCCGGCGCAGTCCTGCCCGAGGGCGGCCTGCGGAGCCGGGCTGGCTGCGGCAGGCCTCGGGGCCCCTGACCGTCTCCATCTCTGCAGCCTGAGCCAGAGCTGGTCAGAAGCCCCAGGTTGTGTTTCCAGGACTCAGCTTTCCCTTTTGTGTCATGGGTTCGTTGATGGATCTAAAACAAGCCTTTGGGTCCCTGTGCCCCACGTGGGTGGGCCACAGCAGACCTCTGTCTGGAAGAAGAGCTTCTCTCCCAGGGAGGTTGAGGACGGGGCCCCTGGCAGTGAGGGAATAGAAGGGGGTCACTGTGGGCTTTTGGAGACTGTGGGTAAAGAAGTTACTTCGACACGAGGCTGGGACAGGGCCTTTGCCTCAGCGACATCCTTAGGACAGACTATGTCTGTCCCCCGCTCCTTGTCCCCCGACTGGCAAAGGAGAGTCAGGCAGAGCCACCCCAGAAGAGGGCAGGCACGCGCACTGGTGTGAAGGGTCAAAGAGTAAGATGGACAGCCATTGTGGGCTGCACGGAAGTAAGCATCTACCAAGACTAGGCAGCGTGGCCCAGCGGCGGATGTAGCACGCAGAGGCTGTCCGCCAGCAGGTGAGACACGGCGCTCTTCAAGTTACGGCTCCAGGTGAGGGGACGGAGAGTGTCTGCTCCACGGAGGGCCTCAGCACCCGGGGCTGCGCTGTGCTGTGGCCGTCCTGCTTTTAGCTTCCTAAAGAGCCAGGCCACGGCGGGCAGATCCGGGCTGTGCACAGAGGGGAACCTGCAGGGGTGACAGGGGCTCTGACGGCAGGACAGGGAAGAGGCGAGGCCCCTGCGAGGCCCAGCAGAGACAGAGCGGGAGGACACTCCCAGAGCAGGCAGGGGACGGTGCCTCCACCTTTAGCTGCTTGCGACGTGGAGAGTGTTGTGATTGGATCACCCGCCAGGAGCCCTGCATGTACCTCATGGTCCTAATCGTGGGCTTTGAGGAGATAGGGGTCTGCCCAGCCCCACTGGAGTGGGGCAGTGAGAACTGTTCTCCATTCGGGTGTTAGGTCAGGGCCCACTCACCCCGTGTGCTCGGTAACCTGCACCCCGTCTTCGTAGAGCGTCTGGTTGATGGGCTGGTTGTTGAAAGGAAGGCACCACATACCTGCTTGTGGGTTCCCTGTAGCTTCTGTTCTGGGGCGGGTTTGCTCCCGGCCTGTGCTGTGGGAGACACTCTGCTCACTAGACACTGGACACAGGGGCCACGCCAGGAGTCTTCCTCCAAGGCTTCGCTTCGAACACACGGAACAAGGATTTTGAATAAATTTTACTTGAATTGTTAAGTTAAATTTTTAAAACATCTGCCATTAAATTTTTAACATAATTTTATATTTAAGTTCTTCAAAATGACACTTGTTTTTTTAAAATATTGTTTACTGAATGTTATGAAAAATAATTAAAACCTGGAAGGACTTCTGTTTTTTTAATTGTATTTTGTTTTATTTTTGGAAGGACTTCTAAATTTAGCAAAATGTACTTGCCACAGTCTTTTACTGGAGGAGCTCAGGGATGCAAAGAGTCAGGCAACTCTTTACAGCCTTCACTTGTTTTCTAAGCAAAAAGAATAGTTTCCGTGGAGGCTCCTGGACTAGGCATCACCAGTGAAGTCCAGTCTTCACTTGGACTGAAATTAACTTCGTGCCAAGCTGGAGGGCAGAAGTAGCCAGTACCTGTTTGCTGTGTGATGTGGAACGTATCAGAATATGCCACTTGCTCTGTCACGCTGGTGAAAGTATGTTGGGAGTTTGGTTTGTCTGCTGGGCTGGAAAAAAGGCATTTCAGGGTTTGAGTACACACTTTTGAAGTGTCTTGTCGATGTGTGCGTGAAGACCCCAGCCTCGCCTGGAGAGGTGGCGCGCCGGCAACTGGCTGGTTGTGTCATCCGGCCACCACACACACGGGAGGCTAGCACAGCAGCTGCTCTGACCTTGCTTTATTTTATTTATTTTTTTAAGCAGGCTCCACGCCCAGCGCGGAGCCTAGTGCGGGGCTTGAGCCTCACGACTGTGAGATTGAGACCTGAGCCGAGATCAAGAGTCGGATGCTGAACTGGCTGAGCCACCCCAGCGCCCCTGACCTTGTTTTAAAGAAGTACTTAGTCGCTAGGACAAAGGCTATAAGGAAGATTCTGTTAAGCACTGCCCCTCCCCCCCGCCACAACCAATAAAGTAATAAGTATATACCTTAGTAGAAAGATTAAATCTAATCGTCGTCTCGGAGAGTGAAATAATTTGGGTCAGGTGTGTTTTAAGCTGTTTGGCTTATTATAACCTGTTTCAGGGTTTGTGTTCTTATTATATGATTTGTTTTTATTTACTTATTTTTTTAATGTCTTAATGAAGAACACTTACTGTTGTCTTACGTTGCTTCTTCTTTTCGCATCACAGCTGGAGGAGAAAGCTCGCCTGGAAGCAGAGGCCAGGGCCCGGGAGCACCTGCACCTCCGTGAGGAGCAGAGACGACAGGAGGAGGAGGAGGAGTTTCAGCGACTTCAAGAGCTTCAGAAGCTGAGGGCCGTGAAAAAGAAGAAGAAGGAGAGGCCAAGTAAAGACTGTCCCAAGTTGGACATGCTTGCTAGAGACTTCCAGGCAGCAGCAGAGTCTGTACCTAACTCTGAAAACATGCACAATGGCTCACTAGAGCAAATGGAAGAACCAGAAACCTCATCTCACTCTCCTTCCAGACATGGGGACCACACGGAACCCAGGCCAGGGCCGGGGGCTGACGGGGATGCTGCCGGCCCCATGGACGCCAGAGACTCCAAGCTCCTCCTCCCCAAGGAGGTCAGTGGGAAGCGGCAGGAGCCGCTGTCTTTTCTCCTTGACATAATGCATCACCACAAGGAGGGGAATGGCAAGCAGAAGCTCAAACAGACCAGCAAGGGCAGCAGCGAGCTGGTGAGGAAGCCGGCCGAGCCCCCCAAAGCCTCAGAGGGCCAGCCCAGACCCCGGCCCCAGACTGAGTCGAAGGCGAAAGTGCTTGACTTCACTTCCCTGGTGGAGCACAAAAGGGAGGACAGAAAAGTGAACAGTAACAACAATAACAAAAAGCAGCTGAACCACGTCAAGGAAGAAAGGTTGAATCCGGCCCCCCCAGAGCCTGCCTCCCCCAGCGAGCACCCTCAGGACAGCAAGCTGGTGCTGGCGGACTCTCCGCAGCCTAAGGGCAAGAGCAAGAAAAATAGGAAGAAGAAAGGAGACCGAGTCAGCAGTTCAATCGGTAAATAGAGAGCAGCGGGGAGTGTGGCCGGTGCCCCGTCACCCCGGGTGCCGCCTGGCCTCTCCTGGCTTTGGGCTGCTTGGAGCTTTACCACAGCAGGGGGACGCACATAGCCGTTGTCGCTCCGTGTTGTTTGGAATAATGACTGTACAAAGAATTCCTCTGCGGCTCGCTCCGATTCCCCAGACTCAGTGTGTGCCGTGTCTGCTCTCTCTTTCTCTTTCTCCCTCTTTTATTGTTTTTCTGAGCCAAAGGAGAGTAATTTCAGACATGAAGCCCCTTTGCCCTTAAATATTTCACCGTATATTTCCTCAAAACAAGGATACTCTTAGAAAACCACAAATACAGTTATCAGAATTAAGAAATTAATACTGATACAGTAGCACGATCTTAATTATAGACCTTACTGCTGTTTCTCCAGTCATCCCTTTAATTTCCTTTATAGAAAGAAAAAAAAAGTTACTGTTTTTCCTGACACAGGATCCAGTCCAGGTCCCATGTCATATCTCCTTAATTTCCTTTAATGAGTCGGTTCCTCAGTTTCTCATGACCTTGACATTTTTAAAGAGTCAGTCCATTTATTTTTCTTAGAATAATTTATTATTTGGAATAATTTCAGTTTGGTTTTGTGTGCCATTTCTTGATGATCAGATTCAGAGTATGTGTTTTGGGAATTGGTGCCGTGGAAGTGGTGGGTCCTTGCTGGTGCCCTCCATGTGGAGCACAGAGTCTGGTGACGGGGACTCAGCCTCCCCTTCGCTCTCGGAAGTGGGAGTGTCTGGTGGGGATGTGGGTCTCCTGCTGCTGGTAACATCCACTGGCAAGTCTTGCCTGAAATGGTTGTTCCTAAGTTGTTTGCCACGTTGTGATTTTTCTAACATTATTATTCGTTGTCCAGTTCTTATTTGGTGCTTTCTGGGAGGTGCTTTCCTTCCCCCCACCCCATGTAGGGCTTTCATTCGTTCAGTTATTTAGATCAGGGTGGGTTCGTAGAGCCTTACTTTGTACTATAGACCATAGTCCTTTACTAACACTACTTATTTTGGTCCTCTGGCTGTCCCAGATGCAGTCCATGCCCCCTCAGGTGGTCCCTCGACCCCATAACTCTTGGGGCACTTGCTTACTTTCCTGCACATGAGATGTTCTGGGCTTATCTTGTACTTTCCTTGTCTCAGCCCTGAAGCTGCCGTTTTCCAGGGAGCCCTGGTTCTCCGGGTGCTGCTGCTGCGTGGTTGCTGCTAGACCCTTCCCGCTGACACAGCCGGGAGTGGGGCCGGGGGGGGGGGGGGGCGGCGCATACGCAGCCCCCACGAGCATCTCGTGGAGTTTCTGTTCACACCGATGGCTTCGGTGGCGCTCCCCCTCACCTCCCCACCTGCACAGCGCTGTGCGCAGTGTTTGACTACAACGGAATGCACGAAAAGTGGGTTCAGAATTGCTCACCCCCGCCCCGCAGTGAAAAGTGTCCGGCTGAGGGCACGCGGGCTGGGGCTGGAGCGCAGCGGCGGGGAGGTGCCGGGAGGGGCGCCCGCACAGTCTGGTGCGGCTGCCGCTCCAGGCGCCTTTGTTGCTGTTCCGTTCCCTCCGGCTTGGTTTCCCCACCCCCGAGCCTGGTTCTCCCTTTCCCACCTCACTTCCGCCCACTCCCTGTAGGTAACGGCTCGGTTTCTTTCTTCTCTTTTTCACACAGAAGGTAACTTCTGGAGATCTTTTTGTTTTTTTAAGATTTTCTTTATTTATTTGAGAGAGTGAGAATGAGAGAGAGCATATGAGAGGGGGGAGAGTCAGAGGGAGAAGCAGGCTCCCCGCTGAGCAGGGAGCCCGATGCGGGACTCGATCCCGGGACTCCAGGATCATGACCTGAGCCGAAGGCAGTCGCTTAACCGACTGAGCCACCCAGGCGCCCTCTAGAGATCTTCTTTTGCTTTTTGATTGCCCCTCCTGCCAACTGAACATGTCCGGGAAAGCACCGAGCGTGATGGGTTCACAGAGCTCCTCCTCGCTGTGCTGCAGCCCTGTGAGTCTGGCTGGGGCTTGTGGTTGTCCGCGGGGCTGCCCTGGGAGCTGTTTCTTGCCAGGGACTCCCAAGAAGGCGGGCGTGGACAGTCTCATCAGGCTGGTAACTTGAGCCAAGACAGGAGGTGGTGTCAGTCCCCAGGGTAGCTTTCATGTGCATTTTCTCTAATTGCAGTGAGGTCATATTTTTAAGTACTGTTTGTCTCTTTTTTGTGAAATTTCTATTCACATTTTTTTCTTGTTTTTAAATTAGGTTTTTGGTCTTTTTCCTTGCATTTTTAAGAGTCTTTCTTATAGTAGGAATATTAATTGGCCTTCTACCTGCATCACAGGCTGCAGATACATACTCCTTTGGACTGTGTCTATGATGCTTTCCAGCCATGCAGAAGTTTTCTTTTTCAGTTTTAGATAGTCATTTCATTGATCTTTTAGCGCCTCTGGATTTTAAAGTGGTCGGAAAGCGTTACTCTGACGCTAAGGTGGAAGAGGAGTGTGCCTGGGCCTTCCAGGATTTGTATGGTCCCACCTTTCTCATTTAGCCCCTGATACATTTGGAGATTTTTTGTGGGTATCATGTGAGCCATGGGTCCGGTATTATCTCTTCTTAAGGGGTTAGCCCACTGGCCCAGCACCAGTTACTAAAAACTCATCTTGCCCCGTGATTCAGGGTGCCTCCTTTGTGCTAAACTAAATTTCCCTGTGTCCTTGATCTACTCAGGAATTTCTGTTCTTTTCCTCCTTGCTTCTTCCTGAGCCCTTGCTGCACTGAGTTAGTTACTTCAGGTGCCCCGTGTATTTCAGCGAGGCCTCACCTCCCAGCTGTTTTCCATTGTCGTCCCAGCTGTTCTTGCATGTCTGTGCTTCTGTACGAACTTGAGTGCCCGCGTGCTAGAGCCATAGCTCCAGTGTCTCTGTTGGGGTTGCATTACATTTACAAATTAATTTAGGGAGAATTGGTATCTTTATGTTGATTGTCCTTTCCAGAAATAGGAGTGTTTCTCCATTTGTTCAAGTTTACTTTTGTGACTTTTAGGAATGTTTTAAATTTTCTCTCATAAAAAAGAGAGAAATGGAAATTGGTCTATTTGGTATTTCTGTTTCTAATGAGGTTAATTTTAGTAAACTATATTTCCATGGTAAATTATTCTTTTAGCTAGATTTTCCAACTTACTTACATAGATGTCTTGAAACTACGTAATTTTTAAAAATGTATTTTTCAATGGCTATTTTCTTTTTTTTAACGTTTTTTAATTTAAGTTCTGTCAATTAACATATAATGTATTATTGGTTTCAGAGGTACAGGCCTATGATTCATCAGTCTTATATAATACCCAGTGCTCATTGCATCACATGGCTTTCCTCTCTTCCCCTATGATTCTCTGTTTGTTTCTTATATTCCACATGTCAGTGAGATCATATGATAATTGTTTTTCTCTGATTGACTTACTTCGCTTAGCATAATATCCTCTAATTCCATCCACATCATTCAAATGGCAAGATTTCTTTTTTTGATGGCTGTGTAATATTGTATATATATACACCACATCTTCTTTATCCATTCATTTGTCAATGGACATCTATTGTGGACATTACTGCTATACACATTGGGGTGCAGGTGCCCCTTCAGATCACTATATTTTTATCTTTGGGGTAAATACCCAGTAGTGCAATTGCTGGGTCGTAGGGCAGCTCTATTTTTAACCTTTTGAGGAACCTCCATACTGTTTTCCAGAGTGGCTGCACCAGCTTGCATTCCCACCAACAGTGTAGGAGGGTTCCCCTTTCTCCACATCCTCGCCAACATCTGTCGTTTCCTGACTTGTTAACTTTTAGCCATTCTGACCGGTGTGAGGTGGTATCTCATTGTGGCTTTGATTTGTATTTCCCTGATGCCGAGCGACGTTGAGCACTTTTTCATGTGTCTGTTGGCTGGATGTCTTCTTTGGAGAAATGTCTGTTCATGTCTTCTGCCCATTTCTTTTGTGCCGGTACCATACTGTCTTGATGGATTATTTGTTCTTTGGGCATTGAATTTGATAAGTTCTTCATAGATTTTGGATACTGGCCCTTTATCTGATATGTTATTTGCAAATATCTTCTCCCATTCTGTTGTTTGTCTTTGGTTTTGTTGACTGTTTCCTTTGCTGTGCAAAACCTGTTTATCTTAATGAAGTCCCAGTAGTTTGTTTTTGCCTTTGTTTCCCTTGCCTTTGGTGATATGTCTAGGAAGAAGTTGCTGCGGCTGAGGTCGAAGAGGTTGCTGCCTGTGTTCTCTATGATTTTGATGGACTCCTGTCTCACATTGAGGTCTTTCAGCCATTTGGAGTCTATTTTTGTGTGTGGTGTAAGGAAATGGTCCAGTTTCATTCTTCTGCATGTGGCTGTCCAATTTTCCCAACACCATTTGTGGAAGAGACTGTCTTTTTTCCATTGGACATTCTTTCCTGCTTTGTCAAAGATTAGTTGACCATAGAGTTGAGGGTCCATTTCTGGGCTCTCTATTCTGTTCCATTGATCTATGTGTCTGTTTTTGTGCCAGTACCATACTGTCTTGATGATGACAGCTTTGTAATAGAGCCTGAAGTCCAGAATTGTGATGCCGCCAGCTTTGGCTTTCTTTTTCAACATTCCTCTGGCTATTTGGGGTCTTTTCTGGTTCCATACAAATTTTAGGATTATTTGCTCCAGTTCTGTGAAAAAAGTGGATGGTATTTTGATAAGGATTGCCTTGAATGTGTAGTTTGCTCTAGGTAGCATAGATATTTTACAGTATTCTTCCAATCCATGAGCATGGAATGTTTTTCCATTTCTTTGTGTCTTCCTCAATTTCTTTCATGAGTGTTCTATAGTTTTCTGAGTACAGCTCCTTTGCCTCTTTGGTTTAGCTTTATTCCTAGGTATCTTATGGTTTTGGGTGCAATTGTAAATGGGATCGACTCCTTAATTTCACTTTCTTCTGCCTCATTGTTAGTGTATGGGATGCA